ATAAAAGCATATGGAATTGTTACATTAAAAGAAATGATACTTTCAAAAGATATTTTAATGAATGAAGAATCAAATTTGAATAAAGTTTTAGATATATTTATTCAATTAGTTCAAGATGAAGAGAGGTAAGTGAATTAATATAAGTGATATAAGTGATACAAAGTGATTAAGTGATAATATAAGTGATAAATGATAATATAAGTGATAATATAAGTGATGTAATATTTTTAATCCATTATATATTAATTAATCAATTAATTTAATTAATTTATTTATTTATTATTTTTATATATTTTAATGCAATAAAAGGATTATCTTCATTAACTGACATTCATGGAAAGAAAATTATGGAAAAATTAATGAAAATATATTCAGATCCTATTCAAAATTTAGATAATCGATTACGTATTGGTGAAGCAATTTTACAAACTATACAAAGATGTGGTGATGTATTAGGAAAATATAGTAAGTTTATAAAAATAATTAATAATTGATAATAATAATTAATGAGAATAATAATAATGAGAATAATAATAATAAATAAATAAATAAATAAATTATAACGAATATAATAATAATAATTAAATTATCAGTTACTACGCTTTTACCTCCACTTTTACAAGTACTAAATAAAGATCAAAATAAGATATTACGTATATCAGCTTTAAGTATTATTGGATTTGCGTGCGAAACTTCTCCATTAGCATTAACAACTTGGTTTCGAGATATTGTGGATTGGATATTAAATATTTTGGATATTCAAAAAGATGTAGAAATTCGAAGAGGTAAATTAATTAATATTTTTATGTTTAATTCTTTGTATTTGATAATAATAATAATTATAATTTTTTTTTATTTTTTCATTTTTATTATTTGGTTTTTTTTTATATTTAGCATCGATCGTACTATTAATTTCATTAATTCGTGGATTGTCATCACATTCGCAATCAATATTTCTAATTCCTAAAGATTTATTAGAAAGAAGTTGGCGAACATTAAAATATGTTGAAGAAATTGATAATGATGATTTAATTAAATATCATGCAAGAGTTGGAATTAGTATTTTAGAAACCATTTCACAAAATGAATTAATGGGAATTAATAATGTTGATAAATTCTGATTTATATTATTGTTAATTTTTATAATTATGATTTTATATTCTAAATTTTAAAAATTTTTATTTAATTTTATAATAATAATAATAGTAATAATAATAATAATAATAAATTACAAAAAAATTAAAGAAAATCTCTAATGTAAATAATAATAATTATATTTCATATATATTATTATAACTATAAATCTTCGTATTCTCCTTCTTCAATTTCTCC